GACATGTTCAGTGTTGGCAGTCGACACGTCCAGTGTCGGCTGTCGACACGTCCAGTCCAGTGTCGGCTGTCGACACGTCCAGTCCAGTGTCGGCTGTCGACACGTCCAGTCCAGTGTCGGCTGTCGACACGTCCAGTCCAGTGTCGGCTGTCGACACGTCAAGTCCAGTGTCGGCTGTTGACCGTTGAGTGTTGACTGTCGAGTGTCGACACATTTTCTGTTTGTTTCTTTCAGGTGTTCAGAGATCTGGGCTCAGATGTTCTGATGGCTGCGTTTGAGGGCTACAATGCCTGCGTCTTCGCCTACGGTCAGACGGGCTCAGGGAAATCCTACACCATGATGGGACTTCCTGTAAGACCACACTGACCCCCACGTGATCTGTAGGCCCGCCTTAGGAACAGAACCCTACAGGGACAGAACCGTACAGGGACAGAACCCTACAGGACCCTACAGGAACAGAACCCTACAGGACCATACAGGGACAGTACCCTACAGGGACAGAACCCTACAGGGACAGAACCCTACAGGGACAGAACCCTACAGGAATAGAACCCTACAGGACCCTACAGGGACAGAACCCTACAGGGACTGAGCCCTACAGGTACAGAGCCCTACAGGAACAGAACCCTACAGGAATAGAACCCTACAGGACCCTACAGGTACAGAGCCCTACAGGAACAGAACCCTACAGGAATAGAACCCTACAGGACCCTACAGGGACAGAACCCTACAGGAATAGAACCCTACAGGACCCTACAGGTACAGAACCCTACAGGGACTGAGCCCTACAGGTACAGAACCCTACAGGGACTGAGCCCTACAGGTACAGAGCCCTACAGGAACAGAACCCTACAGGAATAGAACCCTACAGGACCCTTCAGGGAGAGAACCCTCCAGGGACAGAACCCTCCAGGGACAGAACCCTCCAGGGACAGAACCCTCCAGGGACAGAACCCTCCAGGAACAGAACCCTACAGGAACAGAACCCGTACAAACGATCATTTTTATAAATTAATCAGTCTTGAGATTCTGTTTTTATTTTACTGAAATCTAAACAAACTGACTTTTTTCACAGTCATTTTTAAAATTTCATTGAGGAGAAACTGAAAGGGGCCTGGCGTTTCTCAGAGGACTGGCGTTTCTCAGGGGCCTGGCGTTTCTCAGAGGACTGGTGTTTCTCAGGGGCCTGGTGTTTCTCAGAGGACTGGCGATTCTCAGGGGCCTGGTCTTTCTTAGAGAACTGGTGTTACTCAGAGGACTGGTGTTTCTCAGGGGCCTGGTGTTTCTCAGGGGCCTGGTGTTACTCAGAGGACTGGTGTTTCTCAGAGGCCTGGTGTTACTCAGAGGACTGGTGTTTCGCAGGGGCCTGGCGTTTCTCAGAGGACTGGTGTTTCTGAGGGGCCTGGTGTTTCTCAGAGGACTGGCGTTTCTCAGGGGCCTGGTGTTTCTCAGAGGACTGGTGTTTCTCAGGGGCCTGGTGTTTCTCAGGGACCTGGTGTTTCTCAGAGGACTGGTGTTTCTCAGAGGACTGGTGTTTCTCAGAGGACTGGTGTTTCTCAGAGAACTGGTGTTTCTCAGGGGCCTGGTGTTTCTCAGAGAACTGGCGTTTCTTAGGGGCCTGGTGTTTCTCAGAGAACTGGTGTTTCTCAGGGGCCTGGTGTTTCTTAGAGGACTGGCGTCTCTCAGGGGCCTGGTGTTTCTCATAGGACTGGTGTTTCTCAGGGGACTGGTGTTTCTCAGGGGCCTGGCGTTTCTCAGGGGCCTGGCATTTCTCAGGGGCCTGGCGTTTCTCAGGAGCCTTCTGTTTCTCAGGGGCCTTGTGTTTCTCAGGAGCCTTGTTTCTCTCAGGAGCCTTGTGTTTCTCAGGGGCCTGGTGTTTCTCATGAGCCTTGTGTTTCTCATGAGCCTTGTGTTTCTCAGGGGCCTGGCGTTTCTCAGGGGCCTGGTGTTTCTCAGGGGCCTGGTGTTTCTCAGGGGTCTGGTGTTTCTCAGGGGCCTGGCGTTTCTCAGGGGCCTGGCGTTTCTCAGGGGCCTGGCGTTTCTCAGGGGTTTTGTGTTTCTCAGGGGCCTTGCGTTTCTCAGGAGCCTGGCGTTTCTCAGGGGTCTTGTGTTTCTCAGGGGCCTTGTGTTTCTCAGGGGCCTTGTGTTTCTCAGGGGCCTGGTGTTTCTCAGGAGCCTTGTCTTTCTCAGGGGCCTTGTGTTTCTCAGGGGCCTTGTGTTTCTCAGGGGCCTTGTGTTTCTCAGGGGCCTGGTGTTTCTCAGGAGCCTTGTCTTTCTCAGGGGCCT